TTTTTCGTTTTATTCACGTCAGTGCAGCGTATTAAAATCGAAAATTTGTGCACACTGAAATAAATAACTTTGTAATTTTAAATATAAAATACATTTCTACAGTTTTCCCGTTGACGTGAATGTTAAATAATTTACAGATACAGCGGAAATAAATATTTCTATTCAGAAACTTCACAATGTATCTATTTTTGTATGCAAATAAAGTAACAATGTTAATTAATTTTGATTAGCTCATCAACATTCCATCCAGACTGCAGTTACGTTAAGTAATAGAGTCGACAAACTTCCTCCTGCCGTTATTTTAACTCAGTCAGTAAATTATGACATGAAACGAATACGAATTAAGAAGAACTTTAGTGTGGCAGGTCGGCAGTCGTTTGCCAATCTAAAAACCACATTTCGCAAGTAGGGAACAAAAGAACAAAGCATTAACAACATTACTGCCCTACCACCCGCTGTGCATTTATTAACGGACGCTCCCTAATGCATTTTGTCCATTAAGCTTAATCAATAATGGTGTCTGAGCTGACAAATTACATCCCTTTTTGTCCAGGCGATTGTTACAGATTTTGCGAGGACAAGCTTTTCAGAAGAATATGCAAATTTATGGTCTAATTTCGCAAATATTTGTCACATTTGCGGAATTTTCCTTTATATAAATAAGTACTTAGTTTCCGTTTAATCTCTATTTTAAGATAAAATCCTGTCCAATTAATTCCTGTCAGTCAAACTCACTTGATCCCCAACTTGTTTTCACGGCTTATCTAAACTCGTGTCTCCCGATAACAAAGGGCTTACTCAAAAGTTGACACTAATGCGGACTAATAAGGAGAACGGAATCCTTTTTCGGTCAAAATGGTGTTTTCATTCTTCTCCGCCTTACCGTGTTAATTGGGCCAATTAAAGAAAGAAAAAATGTAGAACAGTTTTCAATTTACTGGACAAAATACATAGATAACTAGCTTTTTATATCTGATTGATTCCAATTTGTTGCTCCAGGGCCCAAATATTTCGACAACTTTAAAGAAAAAATGAGGACCACGTCTTTCTCCACCAACAAAGTATTTTCCTTTGCCTAATTTAATTAGGGAAATGCATCTGTTATCATATGCAAATGAAGTCGGGCCCGTCAACCTGCCCCACTGAAGCCATTACTCATCCTCCTCAAACTTCCTACTAACCAAGAAATACATAAATGCCTTGCAACAGCTACATACATACAAACGCCGTGTAATTACCTTCATTTCATTCCAGTACAGGCATCTCAGCGTCTGGACGTCCAACATAACTTATGCATTTTTACACATACATAAACTCGTTCCTTATAAATCTAACAGAATTAAATGAATATCTGTACGTAGAAATCTTTTCTTATAAAGACCCCTGATTAAAATTATGCATGTGTGTGTGTACTCATCAATTTGCATGCTTCCCGAAAAGCGTGGTGTTGGCCTTCTTAACTCTCAACTTAAGTCACCCATGACCAAGAATCATTTATTATTAGGGGACTCATTTACAAAACGCGGATCCACAACTTGTCATCGGTATTTGTGAAGTGCGAGAGTGAAATTTATTCCTGGAGACGTGCACATCTCTTCTCATTAATAACAATCAAGACGACTGACTTATCTGCCTGGCTCTGTTACCTGCCAGCGACACGTGTCCCGTACTGTGTGCATGTCCGGGTGGATTTTTTATTGCATTTTATAAATTATCCCGTGAATATGATAGAATATGACAACTGCTATCAGGCGCAGAGGTATTTGCATTTTTTATTGGATAAAATGTTTCGGGGTTGGCATCATCTGTAAATCTTGAGACGGAATAAAAACTGCATAATAAATGCGAGACGCAAATAATAATGATATGTAATAAATGCCATTAAATTTACCATGGCAAACCTTCACCTTCACTTAATTGCAGATGGACAGACTCGTTTACAATGATGTTGTCCAGCCACACCCGCACAAAGCCCAACCCAAGGGAAGAATTTTGCTCTTTTTTTACTCACTTATTTCTCCACCGCGACAACAATTTATCCTAACCACGAACACAATTAGTTTAACGAAGTGCCTTTTTCGGGAATCAATCCAAATCTCGTCTCGCAATCGAAAATCAAGTCTAAGATTTTTATAATGGCGACGACGAATAACTGATTTTGCTAAGGAAAAAAGTGTGCATGCTGACTTAGCGAATCTTTGCATGGATCAAGTCGACTTTTTCTGACAGACTGGATTTTACATATAATCGTCTTCTCCCCCGATTTAATTTGTATCACTTAACTTGCATACAGGTTAAAGCCGGGATTTGGGCAAAAAACTTTACCATTTTGAAATGTTGATAATGTTATGTCAACCCGAAATTAATTTGAGACGGGTAAAAAGCAATGAGAAGTTGGCAATAGCAGGAACAACGATCTGTTTGAGATTCACGGCAAACATGGTTTGCATAATAAGAAGAGATAAGATAGCGATGGGAGGATGAAAATGAACGAGAAGTTCAATTTGTACCCATCACCACGGCAGGGGTGCAAGGAAAACTCTGTAAATACAAAGATACTGACAGGTCTGACAAGCAGTTTAGTTTGCAACAATGCACTAATGGCAAATAATTTAAGTGGATGGATGGATGAGTGTTCAATCATGAGGCGATTTGTTTGGATGGAAAGATTGCAGGAAAATGAAAATGTGAAGAGTTAAGTAAACTTCATTTGTCAGTTTGTACATAAATACAATAAAAATTGGAGGCGTAGTGAGTGAGTTCTGGGAAATAAATATTTTATGGTTTTAATAAGCTTTGATTAATTACATTTTATTGTTGAGCTATGACCTTGAAGGACTACTGTAATTTAAAGTGCGTAATACATAGGTAACTACATTTCTCACGGTTATGTACGATTGCCCACCCAGAATGCAGTAATGGATGAAATACCTACATATATCTTCTACTGGAAAAGTGGTAAAAATTGCTTTAAATTAGCCTTACCAATTATGTACTTAATTAGTTGCTTTGGATGTTTTTTTTAACTTTATGCATTCCCGAGAAATGCGAAAAAATTCATAAGCTTACAAAGGGAAGTATATATTTAAGCTCCTTGTGTATGTATATGCAAATACACAAGCGTGAAAGCTTCATTCGGTTCGCCAAATATGAAAAAGTTCATTAAAAATTTGTCTCTTCAGTTGCGTCATAATAAAACATTTCTGTATAATATCTGGCCTAAAGAGCTATGAGTGAAAGATAAACACACTTTAAAATCATCTCAATTAACAAATTGATTGGAAAAGTTAAATTTTGTGTATAGACAGATCATATCATTTTGCTTTCATATATAGTTCGTTTAAAAGCATGTAGATATGCACATAAAGTGATCCATGTAAATAATACGAATTAAAGAAGTTTCATCTTGAGACTTAACTTCCTTTCCATGAAAACTTAATTCGAACGGAAATGAGTCTAAAAGTTCAGAGTGTATTAATTTTTTATAAAACGCGTGGTCACAGATGAATGCAGAGGAGGGTGGTTGTTTATCTAATAATTTGTTTCGTCTCGATGAATATGGAAATAGTCAATTAAAGTTTCTTCCTAAAATTCGTTCTTCCATTATCCTAAGTTCAAGATTTGGAGCCCGTGACGAAATTGGAATTAATTCATCACTCACAAGTCGTCGTTTTTGTATGTATGTATAATGTGTAGGTGAACCATTTCACTGGAGTCATGCAGAAAAAAACTTGGCTTTCCTTAATTGCTTATCCCTCAAATTTTCGATATTAAGCGTTAGACAGATAACACATTTATCCAGCCTGACATGAAAAAATTTAGCAGGCTAATAACTGCCACATTATGGAGAATTAGCGAAATGAATATCCTCACCTCTTTTGGGCATGAAAAATAACTCGTCCCCTAATCACGCAATTGCATTTTATTAAAGTAAAAACTGTAATTTCAAAATTTTTACAAAAATGTTACTTTGGATTGTTACTAAAATATCCATTAAACTAATCAATCCATCCTCGCACCCCTGTTAAATTCTAATAATTTTTTATTCATCCATCCCACAAATGACGGACAGATCGTGACTTACTTTCCCAAGAATTATAATTAGCCGGTTGACTTGCCTTGTATATTTAGATACATAAATAACGATCCAGATAAATACAAGGGAGTAGTAGTGGCCTAATTAAAACCACAAAAATATTTCCCACCCGTCGAAAAGTAAACCTTTCATTGTTTCCTTCCTCTCCAGACAACAACACGACGCGTTTTCTTTTCTTATCCCGTTTTTTGTGAGGTTTGTCTCTACTTTTTGCTCATTTGGTTTCGATTTGTGTCACCTTGGCAGTGATGCATCTCCTCCTTTCTTTCTTTACCAGAGGGAAAAAACGGAAAAGTTGGATGGCATTGACATTGCATGAGAAGGAGGAGGCGGACGCGGACAAAAGTAGAAGTGCGATGCCGTGAGCCAAACGCATTAATTCTGTTCAAAATACAACTCTGGAGAAATCTCATTACACGCCGGAAGCCAAGAGAACTGACTGAATATGTGTGTAAACTATTTATGGAGTAGAATGCAATAAGTGAAGAAGACGATAGGATGAAAAAATGTACAGGCAAGTTCATGATGAAGTTGAAGTGCAAGATTTTCTCCAGGAAATTGAAAAATGTTGAGAATTAATGTGATCTGATGGCAGTTTGCATTTGTTGAATATTGACATCGTAGAAAGTATGAATCTTATTTAGGAAATTAGTTCCCTGATTTACAGATACAATTATTTTGTAACAACTTTAATGTATTAATATCCAGTTGGCAAACGTTGATCGAATCGAAATAAATATTCCTTCAAACTAAATACAAACACGGTTTCATGGAACTGGTAGATTAACTTGCTACCTGCATATGTACATACCTACATGTATATATATACTTACTAATATATGTAGGCAAAAAGAAAGGTATATATTATTGCAGGGTCTGCTTCTTTTGTCCAGTTGAACAAAATCCCATTCCATTGATATCAAGGACAGGGAGAATTGGACATATGCATTTCGTTGTAGTATTCTTCGTATATGATTCAGTAAGAGAGGAGAAAATATTTAATTTGAATAATAATAATTTAAATAATGTCCTTATTATCGGGTCATTTATTACTTATCATCGCCTTCTCCAAATTTGTTGGAATTTCCTCCTGCGGTCCACGTAAGTACATATGTACATACACAACACTACATCGTATTTTAGAGCTTCAGTTCCATTTTGGCTTTTGAATATTTATCAGTATTGCAAAAATTGTCATTAAAAATAAATACTCCCAACCCAACCGTTAAATCATGGGTAATTGTGGATTTTTGTTGGCCGTACTGTCCAGCTTGATCGTAGTCCTTGGGTTAATAATGTCCCAATCAGGAAAGTTTAACGATAATTCGTGCAACAGGTTGTATTGGTGTATGGATAAGAACAAAATAATCTACGTTACAAAATAGTAACAAAATTTTTTACTTTTCTACAGGTAACTTGAAGCCCGGACTGAATGAAGATGAGAATGGCCGCTTTGTTCCCGTCTGCAGAAACTACCCGATAACCGGCGAAGAATATGCTGTACTAACTAGTAAGTTATCTACAGTAGTCTCTTCCATGGACTTAATTAATTCCATCGAAATCACACTGTTGAGTAAGTCAGATATTCTTATTATCGACACAAATTTCCTATTTTTCTTCATTTTACTAATGACAAATTTTTCTTTCTTTCTGTTCAGATTCTAATAGATCTTTAGACTTTGTTGGTACTTGGTACACTGAAGCACGTGGCATTTGCAGGTTTCGAAGCAACTCAAAGACGTAAGAGGGCTTCCATCTCAGACGAAATATTTAGCACTGCAGAAATACAGATTTCAAGCTTGACTGGTACTTCTGAAATAGACGCTGAAGCTGTCAGAATTGTGACGTCTGGAAAGTTCACAGCCTCAAGAGTAGTGATCGGCACAGTCACTTCAGGCGGTTAGTAAATTGTGAATTTCACAAAACTACAACAAATACAAAATTAAATTTTTAATATAAAATATGAATTTATGGGTTGTATTTATAGGCCCCAGAGAATCACGAAAGCCAACATTGTTGGCCATGGATAACTTCTTCTTTCGGGGAGGAATTGAACTAAACCACCAAATATACTTCTTTCACTGCCTTACTTCACCCATTTCAGTGAACAGATTGCTTGGTGAGAAATTAATTGTAATTATTTAACTATTACTTAATAATTTTATGTAATAATGACAAAATAATTTTTCTATCTAGGAATTTTTACAGAAGCAAATTTTGACCTCTTAGAATTAAAATTGTCAGAGCCTTATCACAATGGTACGTTGAGCCAAAAGATGATTGTTGTCAGGGGTCTTGGCAAAAATAAGGGCATGTTGGTAAAAGAAAATTTCGCGTCTCTAAGTGGAATTAGCATGGTGGGTGGAGTAAACTTGCGTCGTTAACGAAATTGTGTTAGTGTATGTATGTATATGTATTAATATGTATGTAAATACATATGTAAGTTTGATGGTCTATTCTTTGGCAGATGCTTCCTTAACTTACATATCTATTAAAATATATAACTGTCTACCTAAGTAGATCATAAAATTTATTGAAGTCAAAGGTTGAAGACACCTGCATGATTGTTAAGAATATTTCTCATTGTTAGGAATATCTCAGGAATATATGTCATTAGAAATATTGAAAATATTTAACATTCTGAACAACATTAAAACCATGCAAAAAATTTGTGAGATTCAAAGTTAAATTTGGCAATGATTTTTATTTTTGATTTATGAAACGGCAGTATTCTTGAGCAAGTCGGATCATACGGTGAAATTCTATCCATGTACACAGACACATATAATTTTAACTCCCATAAGACAGTAAAAACGTACGAATATGTTTTTCTCCTCATCTTTAATCATGTTCAATTTGTCACCAAAAAATAATTGCAGTGAACATTTCGCCAACATTACTTGGGTCCCAGTGCAAGTATACTGATGCATACAAATCTACATACGTACATACACTTGTAGATTCATACATATGAATGATAGTGAGCCCCATTTTTCTCGCACTTGCAATTTCCAGTAATTGCGAATAATCCATCTCCGTCAGAATAGAAATGGTTCATTAAGCAAAACAAATAAGTCAAGTCGAGCCGAATTAATCCAGCTCCGATAAGTTGGTAAGAGTTCCCCGTATTTTTCTCATGTTAGCTCAACTCTGCTGCCAATTTTTGTCATGCAAACACATTATTAACACTCTGGCAAGTACAGTGCTATTGATTTGACCCGAATTCGGACCATAAAAACTGTTGCTAATTACACACGTAGCAAAATTCCGGATTTAATGTAGCAAACCTAAGCAAACAAACCTAATTCTTCCTTCCGCCTTTTACGAAGGATTTCTCACTCTAATTTTGACATCCGCTAAATAAACTTCCGCATTTTCTGGCTCGTGTACGTCTAGACGTGGACACGTGTCATGGTGTGAATTAAGGGAAATGTTTGTGCAAATATTTGGCCAAGTGGGCAGCCAAATGGGGCACGCATGATAAGTGAATCTGGCAGTTTTGATAATCTCAATATGAGCGAGCGGTATGTATTTCTGATAAAGGGAAGAGAAACCGGTCTGGGATTAATCACCCGGGTATGATTGTAAAATACCCGGGTAGCAGGATGACTAAGCCGGTCAGGCTATTGAACTTTTATACGTTTGCGATGAGTCAACATCACACCTTGATATTAACCAGGCGCATTTTTGTAAAACAAAGTGTCGTCAAACATCAAAATGGTCACTGTTTGATATTTTTTGCACACTTTGTAACTTATACTTGGCAGATGGTCAAGATAATGGAGAAAATTATTTGTGGGTAAATATTTTGCAGTATAAGGTGTTTTTAAGTGAATTAATTTCACACGAGTTTTTGCAGAGTGTCAAACTGTTGAAGGATTAATTGACTTCGTAGACAAGACACGCATATCCCATAAATAATAAGGCACGTCTGTCTTCGTTACACGTGTAGTAATAATTACTACATATAACATGTAAATTTAATTTTGGAAATTTTAGACCAACAATTTTTGTTAACAAGATTTTTAAATGAAAAACGATGAGTGATTTCTTAGTTGCACAATTATTATCTTATAATGCATTAATCACTACATGTAAATATGTCAGAAAGATGAGACAGACACGTGTCTTAACCCCTCCTGCCCTGTCCATTTTACTAATAATTATAGTGCCAATATTTACGAAGATTCGATAACCACAATAAAAAACAAGGTATGCAAGTCGACCTCGTGTTTTTGCAACAACAAATTTATCTATTTGCATTCTCCTAATTACCCAAAGTAAGTGATAATCACTTATTGTCCCATTTTTAAAAGCATCTTGTAAATAGCTGTAATTAGCATTTTAATTAAGACGACAATCGCACAATGAAGGGAAACTGGTTACCAATCCTTTGTTAAACGGTTGACACGAGAAATGCATTACTTTTTACGATATCTAATCTCCTCAGAATAAATATGTGTACGAATGTGCGAAGGTTATGCAAATATGTATGTTGGGGATCAAGTCGTTTAAAGTTGTTGTTTGCACAGGACTTGTTGATCTTAGTGTTTGGGAACCTTGTTTGTGGATGAGATAAATAAATTGATGTGTAAGTAAATAGAGTGAATGTGACTCATTTGTACTTATGGATGTATGTACTATTTGGCAATTGTGCCAATTTGTTATTTTTTTGCAAAACTGACTAAGTAAATATGTATGTTGATGATCATATCCAAAATGTCATCATCATCCAGTGTAAATGTGGATCATCGTATTTTCCTATTTGAAGGCGAAATTAATACAGTTTTCTGTGTGAATGTACATATTATTTTACACATAAACAAGATTTATTTGTAACGGGAATCAAAATTGAACACTTTTAAATTAGATGCAAATAGCTGGTACGACAAATTTAATTGTGGTGGTTATGCCCATAAATCAAAGCAGCGGGTCACTCTTTTTATGCACATGAAAGTCGACGGGTTATGTAAGTTTGGTTGACACTGTAAATATATTTGCAGGTTGATAAACTTGAATGGATCGCGTACAATAGATAACGGTAGACTACACCTGGAACGAATTGACAACAAAGATGATGCAGAACCACGTGTGCCAAAGATCATCTTTCCCTTGTTTGGAAATTATCTATGTATCAGGAACAATTTTCTAATAATTTTGTAATCGTGCAAAATACGGTGTGAATTTGAACGCCAAATTTTTCCCAGAGGTTAAGACATTAATTCACATACGTATGTACATATTATGTAGTGCCGTACTAAATAATTAGCACAACCAATAGAGAAATTGAAAAATTTCCGTAATATCAATATTAGAAAATTAAAGACATTCTACATATGAAAGAACAAAGGATATTTTAATCTGATGGAATTTCCATAATTTTTGCGATAATTAAATCAATGCCTGCCATGATACATAACAGGTAGCACTATTCCTACCGTACGCATTGTTCACCGTTCAAAATATATGAGACGAATACATGTACGAATGTTACATAATTAATGAATAGGTGATGACTAGTCGAACATGGGATGAGTTCGTTAACATATAAATTTCACTAAAAATTCAAATGGAATCAATCCCCATCTTCCGAATACAATCTTCAAGATTAAAGTCATTAATCATTCCGCATGGTTTTACAGTTCTTGATCTGGGACTCTGCAATTTTTTTGTGCTGTCTAAAATATTAACATGACTGAGGTGATTACATTGCCAATTGTACAACATGTAAAAACTTCAAGTAACTTTAGTTGAAATCCAATGAATACGTTATTGGTTTGCTACTTCTTTACCAGCAACTCACCGACAGGCAGCAATTCTTGTAATGTTTCATTCATAACAAAAAACGGACAATAATTTCTAATTACATTTCTTTGAATGAAAAGTCATTTATTTGCAAATTGCTTGAAGGTCGATGGCACCCGTCACGAAACTTCGTCCATATTATGAACATTGGTTTCTGATTTAACTGTTTTCAAATTTTCAATTGGAAATTTCCATTTTGGTTTAAGATGCACATTTATTATGGACACTTTACACTCATTGTTTTTAGTATGCAGCTTACTAAATCCTGAGGAAAACGTGCAATTCAGCCAAATGTATTTGGTTGCAGATCACGTTTCGTTAAGGAACCATAAAATATATAGAATACATTAAATCTAGCTTAATGCATATATCTATAAAAAATTGCTGAATCTCTAAAATGTATTACTTTGCGAAAAGTTTGCAATTTATTTTCGTTTAAATGAAATTTCTGTTTTATTTTATGTAAAAAATACAATTTGTCCACTAAATTATGTATGTTTCATACATAATTCGGTTAAAGTTTGCATGATTGACCAAGTTTGTGTTTAAGATAATTTCCGTTTGACACTGACGAATTGATTAACTCCATCAAACATTTATCTAAGAGAGCAATTTTTATATAAAATTTCATAAAAAATCGCAAAATCGTTACAGAAAGCAATTAACCGTGCACATCCAAGGATGTAATTAACACGTTTGCCCAACACCCCAACACCGCCAAGTAACCACCCTGTTATTGTTGTTGATCACCGCAAACTGTGATGATCACGCTTTGATTGAAGATTATTCGCTCGCTGTCTCATAAATCCGTGATGGAGCTCGCGTGACGGGGTCTGATCGTAAAAGACGATTACAAAAAGTTGCAAATTAATTGAACAAGGATCAAATGAATGGATGGAGAAGATGGATGAGTGTGTGGTTTATCGTAGCATGTGCGAAAAACATGCTTGCAAATTGCAAAATCTCTGAATGTATGTATAGGACACTAGTTGCATATTGTAAAAAAAGTATGTAATAGAGAGTCCAGCAGTCTCGCAATTAATTAATCTGATAATAGGATGGGCTGATTTGCAATATGTTTGGCAAAGTGGATTTTTCTACGATGGTTAAAGTAAATAAGTTGGTGGGACGACTTCATAAATAACCTGCACTCAATAAATAACCTGCACTCAATTTCTGTATACTTTAGATTGGACATACTTTATTATCTCACTTGAATGGATACATGTAGAACCAATTAGGTAATAAATTATAAATGGGAGGACAGTTCTGATCAGAGAGACAATAGACTGTAAAATTAAATTTAGACCCAATATCAGCATAGTTTTGACAACTATGTACAATTTGGCTGCAAAAATTTGAAAATAAATTTGTGAATTTTTCCTCACTATGCTTGAGAGTTTGATAACATCTCGATTGGAAGATATCCAAGTATTGATTAGCACATTGGCCATAAAATTGGATCTCTCATTAGTATTTGATATCATGCTTTAGATATGATCAGCTATTTTTTTTATTTTAGGCGTATAAGTAATCCGCAAAAATAAGAAGTGCAAAATCTTATTTAACATTAACAGACACCTGGCGAATTTTTCAGTGGTTGGAGTTTTAAAATTTGTGGATATGAGTGCAAAAATGTGTGTTATTATTTTCGCTAGCTGTGCAAATTATAACACGATACGAGACGTGATAAGAATTTGGAGAATTTTATGACCAAAACCATATGTACCCAGGACAGACACGGCCGAAAGTTTGATGGGCAGATGGTATTCGCTAATTTTTTCTGGAATTAATTACAGCAACCCTGAATTTTATCGATTAGTATATATCCTAATAAATTGGCCACAAACTTGACGTCAATTTAGATATAAAGAGACATATGTG